ACCCACACATGCAGGGCCCTGGGGTAAAGGTGTGTCACCAGGGTGCAGAGGAGGCTACCCCCTCTGTCCCCTTCTGGCTGCCTGTGCCTCAATTTTATCTCACAACTTAGACATTCACATTACTCACACTCTCATAACACATACATATAGGACCTTGGGGGTGGGCACGATACACGGAATACAAAAGACCATCAGGGCGTACAATCTCACCCCTGGCGTCATTGCCCACCTCTATCAGAGAGAGCTATGCGCTTACCTGCTGCTCTCTGGCAGGTAGCTCCATGCCCTCCTGGATTTTAAATGCACCTTAGAACACACATGCATCAACACTACATATGAGCGGGCGGAGGGAGGTTTGGAGTCTTCTCACACCCCCCGTTCTCTGCGGCCTGCTGGAGCGGGGGGGCTAGGAGGAGGAGTTTGCCGTCCGACTGGGGTTTGGAATGTGGGCCCTCCCTGCTGCTGCGGAGTCTGTTTCTCCCCACCTAAGGGAAAAGGGTAACACCACCTCGGCCTGGGTGCAGTTTCCCCCTCCAGGGGCAAGGGTACCTAGACCCGGGGCTTAGAGTACGCTTGGGGAGTGTGATTGTGTGTACAGTGTCTCTCTATGGAGCTTACAAACAAAAGCGCCTGGACTTCTTTAAGTTGCTTGAAGATGTTTCACCTCTCATCCGAGAAGCTTTTTCAGTTCTAAAGTCAAATGGTGAGGAGTCAAGGCTCAAATGGTCAAGGCTCAGCGGGCACCACACTATAAAGGAAAAGAAAGACAATGCAGGAAATTTCACACCTTGCTTTCAAAAACACACACTCCTCATCCTGATCCTACACAACCCACAGAAGAAAACACACCTGAAGACAGTCAAGAGCAATGGGTAAAGAACTTTTCAGCCCGGAATCTCACTGAACCTGAAAAGAGAGTATTAGCCAAAGGACTCAATTTTGCCATTTCTCCACAACAGTTGCCCATAGTGGACCTCATCACAGCCACAGAATCTGCCATACGGATTAATAAATTATCACAGACAGAAGCAGAGCAAATCAGGATGAAAGTCTCAGCCACCCTCTCCAATGCCAAAGTCCCTCCATCCAACCTCACAATACAAGAAAAGAAGGCCGTCGCTTCCCTGAGCAAAGACCACAACATCACTGTTTTACCAGCTGATAAGGGAAGATGCACCGTGGTCCTAAACACTACAGATTACCACACAAAGATCACCACTCTCCTCAGTGACAACAATACCTACGAAGCCTTAAAGCGAGACCCCACAAGCAGCTACAAAAAGAAAGTTATAGCTTGCCTTCAAGACTTTGAAAAGGACAAAATCATTGACCGCCTTACATATCACCGCCTTTACCCAGGGGATGCCATACCCTGCATTTACGAACTTCCTAAAATCCACAAGGAAGCTGTCCCACTCAGACCCATAGTCAGTAGCATAAACTCAGCAACTTATAACATTGCTAAACACCTTGCTACCATCCTTGCTCCTCTCGTGGGGAACACCCCACACCACATCAAGAACTCCACCGACTTCACCGACAAGGTCCAGAAACTTACCCTGGATCCAGATGAAACCATGGTGTCCTTTGATGTAGTCTCTCTCTTCACTTGCATACCCACCACGGAGGCCGTGGAGACTGTCAGAAAACGACTACAAGAAGACAGCTCCTTGGAGGACAGGACCAACTTCACACCCCATCAGATTTGCACACTGTTAGACCTCTGCCTCACCACTACATATTTCAAGTACAACGAAGGCTTTTACAGACAAAAACATGGCTGTGCCATGGGCTCCCCCATGTCACCTATTGTAGCCAACCTTTACATGGAGGAAGTGAAAAGGAAGGCTCTTGGCTCTTTCAAAGGAAGAGTACCCAGCCACTGGTACAGATATGTAGACACCTGGGTCAAAATCAAGACACAAGAAGTGGAATCCTTCACTGCGCACATTAACTCTGTGGATAAGAACATCAAGTTCACCAGGGAAGACACAAAGGACAACTGTTTGCCTTTCCTGGACTGCGCCGTGCACATTGAAGAGAACGGCAACCTCAACATCGAAGTTTACGGGAAGCCCACACACACGGACCAGTACCTCCTCTTTGACTCCCATCACCCTCTGGAACACAAACTTGGAGTAATTAGGACCCTACACCACCGGGCAGAACATGTTCCCTCTAAGCCTGAAGGAAAAAAGAAGGAACACACACATGTAAAGGAAGCACTCAAAACGTGCGGCTATCCTAAATGGGCGTTCTTAAAGTCAGCAAAGAGGCACAGAAAAGAAGACCAGACACCAGCGAGGGAGGATAAGAAGGACAGACGCAACAACATTGTCATCCCCTATGTAGCCGGTGTATCAGAAATACTTAGGAGTTTTCATCCCGGTGCATTTCAGACCCAGCAACACGCTAAGACAAAAACTGGTTCACCCGAAAGACAAAACGCCAAAACACAGACTTAACAATGTGGTGTATGCTGTACAGTGCAGCGAGGAATGCTCAGACCTCTACATTGGAGAGACCAAACAGCCACTTCACAAGCGCATGGCACAACACAGAAGAGCCACCTCCACAGGACAAGACTCAGCAGTCCATCTGCATCTAAAGGTCAAAGGACTGAGAACCTTCACAGAGATAAAGGACACTCTTTCGAGGATGCCAATGTCCACATTTTGGACAGAGAGGACAGATGGTTTGAAAGAGGAGTGAAAGAAGCATCTATGTCCACTGTGAGCGACCATCTTTGAACAGAGGCGGGGGTTTACGACACCAACTCTCTGCCATCTATAATCCAGTTTTGAGATCCCTTCCCAGACGCCTTAACGCCCAGTCACATCCTGGGCCATCTGACCTCAGGAATTCGCATGATAAGGTGGGGCCAGGTTTCACAATGAGCTCACCTTAAACTCTGGCTGATTGGGACACACACCCAGTTTCACACCTTGGCTCAGGCGATTAGAGGATCATCAGGGGTCCTTTTGTCCCTCTGTGGGGGGTCACTCCCACTAGGTTTATATCTGGGACTCTCCACCATTTGACCTTAGAACTGAAGAAGCTTCTCGGATGAGAGGTGAAACATCTTCAAGCAACTTAAAGAAGTCCAGACGCTTTTCTTTGCAAGCTCCTTTGACTACGATGACCTGGATGACTGAGAACCTTCCCAGACATAGTGTCTCTCTATGTCTGTCTCCACATTGGGTGAGTGTTGAGTAATTGCATATGAGAGCATGAGGGTGGGGTCACTCTGGCACAGCTGGCTGCCAGCGGAGCTCACGGGCGCGTCACTGCAACTCCCCCTGGCTTCTGCTCCGCGGCTGCTGAGTGAGCTCTCATCTGGGGCTCTCCTCAGCTCTTACTGGGACAGTGGCGCGGCTGCCCCTCTGTTGGTCTTCCTTGGTCTCTGGATGTCTGGAGTTTTGATGTCCTCCATACCTTTTGATGTCCTCCATTCACTTGTATTTTTATTTTTTTATTATTTTTTTATTTTTTTATTCCTATTTATTCTATTTATCCCCTTTGTATATTTTATTTATATTTGTCTCTGTATTTATATATGTGTGTGTGTGTGTGTGTATATATATATATATAACAATTCTGTAACTGTAACTTCGGTCGTTGCTGTGCTTTTTTGGAAGTCGAATTTCCCAGAGGAACCCACCCGAGGGATTAATAAAGTTCTATCTTATCTTATCTTATCTCTTATCTACCTGCTTCATGCCCTGGTGGACGGGGCTGTGGCTCCCCCACACCCTCTAGCAGATCATTACATGAAGGAACCTTTTAAAAACAAGCGCGTTCATGCTCACAGGTATACTCACGGGTGCTCACACACACAAACTACACCCTTTTTGGCTCCTACCTCAAAGCACACTGTGCACTGTCGATCTTGCATGCTGCACAATAATGTTTACTATTTAGTATTTACTTTTTTCTTTCTCAACAGGTGATCCAGGTGATTGATATATGTATTTTTTTTGTCTGCTTATTTTGTTGGTTTTTGTTTTTTTCCCTTCATCCCCGTCCCTCTTCTCTGCTGTTTTTCCCTCTTTCTTTCCCTCTTTTCCTCATTCAAGTCTGTCCCGTATCTAACAAGTGAAAACAAAAAATAAAATAAACAATAAAAGGTGAATCAAATAGATCATTACGGCAAGGCTGGGATGGTCCATTTGGTAAAGTAAATCCGTTGGGCATCTTTCTTCGCCTTTAGACAAGAATTCTGATGGCAAAAAAACCAAACGGGACAGGCAAAAAAAAGAAAAAGGAAATAAGCTTGACACAACACACCTATAAGCTAGTTTTGAACAGAACATTACACACCACATACCTCCATGCTTCAGTGACTGCAAATAACATTGTATTTGCTAAAGAGGTGTGTCTTTTCTTCTTTATAGGCTTTAATCCTCTAACATCTTTTAAAAAATACTCTCCCGAGTCTCCACAGATGAGGGAAACAATAATGATCAACATAATTTACATCAACAAAACAAAAACTATTTGCAGTTTTACTTTTTTTAAGGCACACCATGATATTAAGGTTTAAAAAACTACTTTTATTATTGTGGCTGCATATTTATTGGAGAAAGACAATTCATATGAAATAAAGATCCAGGAATTTAGTTTTAAGGTGAAACCTCAGGGGAGAGCCACTCTCTCTTGCTTGCCTCAGTGATACAACTTTTTATGTGTAGTGTTAGTCAATCACCATCTTCTGAAGCTTGTTTTCACCATGTTTACGTCCCTAAATGACTGAACAGATAGGTTAAATAGCTGTCAAACAGGTGTACCTAATAAAGTATATAAATATAAATGTATGGGCTCCTTTCCCTTTTGTGCTAAAGAACAATTTTCATAATGAAACGAACTAATGAATACCACAGCGCCAGAATCAGAGAGTATCGGAAAAATTAAAATTAACATAACTTATTTATTTAATTACAAAGATATTGGGTTTTTATTCTTATGGTATGACAAAAGTATAGAAAAAGCAAATTTCCTACCTCTTCTTCCAGCTGTTTATGGAGCCACAATAATTTAAAAAAAATTATTAGCGAGTGAAGAAAAACTGTTCTTGGAAAGCTTGAACAACTTCTAACAAAATCTATGAAAGGTGCAGTGTTTTTCTTTTGAGTTAACTGGTATCACAGTGGACAATAAAGCATTAGATAAAGACAGGAGGCGGAACCACTGAGCAAGGTTGGAAACAGCAGAAAAAAAGCTCAACCAACTGGTACATGCACAGATCTCCACCCTTCATTAACAGAAATAAAAACCAAACAACAAAACCAAACAAAACAAAGAGAGGTAAAAATATGTGCAAGTAAAACGCCTGCATTTAATCATAAGTTTCTCAAAGAGGGAGTGCAAGTAGGAAACTTGTCCATAGACAATTTACTGTCCATAGATTTTACACTACTTTTATTTATTTATTGTGTGGATGCCTGAATTTTTTTTGCAATATTTTTTGCCCATTTCTGCCATATCATCAGTGGCATCACTGATTTTCCTTGCCGGGTTGACCTGTGTTTTAGCTCAGTGAGTTGAACATCCGTTCTCAGACTGGGAGGCCAGGTTCAAATCCCGCTTATGGCAACATTTCTTTCAGTTAACAGTTAAACTTTTTTAACTCTCTTCAACACAAATTTCAGCTTTTTCACCCCTTTTCATTAGAATTTTAAGTTTTTTCACCACTTTTCAGCACAAATACTAGCTTTTTCAGCTGTTTTCAGCAAAAACCTCTTTTCAGCAGAAATTCTGCTGATTGAACTCTTTTCAGCAGAAATTCTACTGATTCATCTCTTTTCTGCAAAGTTTTCAGCCTTTTCACCTCCTATCAGCACAATTCTCAGCTGTTTCTGCTCATTTCAGCAAAATTGTCAGTCACTCCACCTCTTCTTTGTGAGAATGACTTTGGCTCAGTGAGATGAATCCCACTTATGGCAACATTTCTTTCAGTTAACAGTTAAACTTTTTTAACTCTTTTCAACACTGATTCATCTCTTTTCTGCAAAGTTTTCAGCCTTTTCACCTCTTATCAGCACAATTCTGAGCTGTTTCTGCTCATTTCAGCAAAATTGTCAGTCTCTCCACTTCTTCTTTATGAGAATGACTTTGGCTCAGTGAGATGAAAAGCGGCTTTGAGACTGGGAGGCCTGGGTCCAAATCCCACTTATGGCCCACATTTCTTTCAGTTAACAGTTAAATTTTTTTAAACTCTTTTCAACACAAATTTCAGCTTTTTCACCTCTTTTCAGCAGAATTTTCAACAAAAGCGATTGAGAACCACCAAAAGGCACTTCGGTTATGAGTCTCCAGATGAGCCCATACAAGATGCACTTAAAAAAATGGAAACCACATTTTTTAATGTGGTAGTGGATACAGCCATCTCTTCACTTGATGAGAGTGAAGAGATGGCTAGCCCGACGTCCTGGGGCTAGCGATTTTTCCAGGCTACCAAAATCTATCTCTGCCCTGCCCGTCGGGCTATCGTAGGAAGGAAAAATATATGTCTATGCTTTTGCATTCTTTCGGAAATGTAGCTGGGTAATTATGTCATTGGCATCGGTGAGCCACTGTCAATATGTGACATATTGAAATCGCGTTTGAATTTGCGCTTGTTTTTTTGCTTTCACTTTGCAATTATGTGTTATGCAACTGTGTATAGAGAGTGACAGCACTGATTGGTGATTGATGATAATTTGCGCACCAATTCCTCTGACATCGTCTTATCAATCGTTAGCTTACTATGCAAACATGACAAGTGAAATCTCCTGCAGCAAACTTAAACATGTGAGAGGTTGATCACGCAGAGAATCGCTGAGCGTTATGTGAGTGCGTGTGTAAAAGCAGCAGGATTTATATTTTAGTTCTGCTGAGCCAAATAAGACAGGTCAGGGTGAAGAAGTGACAGCCAAAGAAAAGCTTACCACAAAACGGAAAAGTTATGACAAATCAGACTATAAGGCAAAAAGAAAGTGCAGCTTTATGGTTTCATGGACAAAAGAATTTCTGTGGCTGCAATGACGAGCTAAATAACCAGGGCTGCACATAAGTGGTCCGCAGGTGCGCATTCGCTGTCAAAACAAAAGACACGCACAAGATAAGAAGTTGCAACGCGTGTTTGCGTACATAGGATTTTCTGGAGGAGGATAGACATTTGTTTAGAACCCTTAAAGATGTCGAAGATGCTCCTTTAAGCAATTACTTTGGTTTTCCTCCACCTCCAAAGAAATGTCAGAAGGAGTCCGAACCACAAAAGAAGCGCGTATTCTCGGAAAAGTATAAAAAAAAAAGTATATAAAATTAACCCTTATGTTTGCCTTACTACAACAATTTTGTCTATGAAAGCATTCTGTGTAGGGGTTTGGATAGTGTTCTGCTGTCTGCATCTCAGTATTATTAGTTATCACTTGCTGTTGTTTATGGTATCTAATATTTATATTTCAGAGCTATGGCCCAGCAGCATGACCATTTCAACAAAGATGTTATACTACTTCCAACTCCATCATGGGGAGTAGTGTGCAAACAAGGTTCAAAATTACGGTTACACAAACATGGGCACATCCTCAGTGCTTTTGAATTCCAGAAGACCTGGGACAACCAAACTGTCGTGAAACACCTCAAGGAAAGCTTTGGTGAACGCATTCCAGAGGATGTCAGGTAAAATACTATTGTTTATTGTTACTGTGTGTATTCATGTAATGACTTGTACTTAAAGATAATTTACCAAAGTAAAGAAGTTTAAAATATTATTCATCATTATAAAAACATATGACTATACCAGTAGAATTTAAGTCATAAAAGCATACACACAAACAGAACAATATATAATAAAATATTTAACCAATACTTAAAATATTTAACTAATTAGCAATTGCTGTTGTCCCTATTTATTTTTTGTAGCCTCGAGTTTCTAATGGCTTGTGGCAATAAGCTGGTGTCTCCAAAGCTCCAAGTTGGTCAGGAGCTGAATGGGATGCTGATCCTAAAGGTTTTTAAAACCAAAGCCCTCTATGTAAGGCCATCAAGGACACTTTTAGTAAGTTACTAAAAGAATGAAAAGTAATCATGATTTGGGAAAAAACATGTCAACAATTGGGCTTCTAGCAAAATAGAATATATTTATTTAAAACAAGTGTTTGGGAGCAATCAATATTGATATTTCTTATTTTAATCTTTTTAAGATAAGCTATAATTACTTGCTTTTGATATATGTTTTTGGTCTTTTTCTGTTGAAGAGTGAATCAGATGAAGACAAAGATCCTTCCCACATCAGCTCCAAATCAGCATTAAGCAGTTGTGCAACTGATAAGGACAGTGACAATGATTGTTTTGAAGTTGATAGTTCAAAAATCCAACAAGACATGAGCAGCCAAGTCACTACAAGGTTAAGAAGTCATGTTAAAGGTGATAACCCTGGCACTAGCAGTGATGAAGAAGATGATACTGGGACCAACTGTATTCGAAGGAGTGTTGGTAAAAGGCAACGGGCAAAGCAAGGAAGTGATGGGAACAGCATTTGTGATGAAGGCTACATGGCAAGAAGTGATGACAAACCTAGCACAAGCAGTCACAGCAGAGATTTCAATGCAAGAAGTGAAGACATCCCTGCCATGAGCGTTAAAGATGAAGATTATTCTTCATATTTAACTCTCGTGGCATCGCTTTCTGGCGATTCTTCAGATGATGAGGATTTAAATCAAGCTATAATTGCGAGCTTGGAGAATCAGATGTGAGTAACAAACATACAGAATTTGAGTTTGAGACATAATTTGGGCTTTCCAGAATTGTCAAATCAATATAAACCTTTAAAGCTTTAACTCTCTATGATCAGTGTGACACATATTCTCAAATTCTGTAACATGACTACATGGCTGATATATTTTATTTTCTGTTTTATTTTCTTTTTTTAGTGCAGAAAAAGTCCCTGTTCAAGAGATACTGCTGGAACTATCGAAATGAGCACAAAACAGCAGTGCAAATTTAATATAAATCGCTCTGCTGTGTGGGAGGGAGCCTTGCGTGGTTTTCAAAGGCTATCTTATGATCCCAACTTGATGATCTGTGTGAAATTCTCAGATGATATGGGGAAAAATGAGGAAGGGGTTGATTTAGGTGGGCCGAGGAGGGAATTCTTGAGACTATTGATGGACACCATTGCCAGGTCAGCCATGTTTGAGGGGAAAGAAAACTGCAAGAACTTGGCTCTTGACAGTACTGGTAATTACCTATTTTTCTAAGATTAATAGTGGGAACTGTTTAACTGATATTTATTTTTACAGGCAACATTACTGACAATTTTGCTTTTCCTTTTATTCTGTTGCTTTGCAGCTCTCAGAGGGGACTGGTACTACATCTCTGGGAGAGCCATTGCAGTGAGCTTGGTACATGGTGGTCCACCACCTAACTTTCTGTCACCGACAGTATTTTCCCTTCTGGTTGGAAATTCAGCAAATCCAGCCCTGGAAGACATAGCTGACCTGGAACTCTTTGAAAAAGTCCGAAAGGTCTCTATATGTTTATTTTATAAATCTTATAGTGAATTGAAAATAGTTTGTGTTCCAGTTTTCTTTTGCAGGGAATGTTTATCCGGATCAGTCTGGCCATTGCTGAATGCCAAGTTTTTATATTTTGCTGCTATATTAAACTAAGATTCAGTAGATAAGGGTAGACGAAAGAGTATATTTTCTCATTTTTTAAGCACATTGTAAACATATTAAAAAAATATGTGTAGTCATTTGACTTCCAATGTACGCGCGGGCATATTGTGATTGTGTAGACCACTGGTGGTGGTGGTTCCTTCTAATAGGTTATAAGACTACTGAGTAACTTCCATAACAAGCCCTTCCTCTGCTCTTTGTGATGCTAGATATCTCAAAGTACAACCCTTGAGGACCTTGAAAAGTCAAAAGAACCTCTGCTTGATTACTTGGCCAATGCAGGATGCCTGAGGCCTATGCGTTCACTAAGAGACAGGGATCTGCTGGTACATGATATTGTCATGTTTCAGGTCATACACAGGGTTCAAGGTCCATTTCAAAGGTATTTTGGTATTCTGTGTTTTTCAGATTAATTAAAATGGTGATAAAAATCTTACCCATTAAT